CAGAGACTACATTGATAGCTGTAAAATAGATGATGAATCTATAAATGATTATGTTCATGTAATAAATACTAAAAATGTAGAATTTAGCAATGAAAAAATGGAAATGTTTARAAAAGAAACAATGTCTGATCCGGTACTAGGTAAAGTTATGGATTATTATACATCTGATTGGCCACTTGATAAAACTAAACTTCCAAATTTAGATGAGCTTAGATATTTCTGGAATAAAAGAAATGATATAACTATAAATAATGGATTAGTATACATAAATGATAAAATAATAGTTCCATTTAATTGCAGTCTGTCACATTGTGCACAGGTGTCTTTTTTTGGACTTTTTACCTTTAGGCCGGTGTCACGCTTGCGGAATATCCGCAGCGGACGTTCCGCGGCAGAATTTCCGCGTTGTATAGTCTGGTGTCACACTTGCGTTTTTTCCGTAGCGGAATTGGCACAAAAATATAAACTTTAAACTACAGCTCAGTAGTAGCTTTAATAGTTCAGTTTGATTTAATTTGTCATTTAATTGGAGATGAAGCTTTTAGAATTCATCAGCATTTATTAAGACCTTGTTCAAGCCGTGATTTAAATTATTCCAAGCGAATTTTTAATTATAGACTCTGTAGAGCTAGAAGAAATGTTGAGTGCGCTTTTGAAATCATATGWAGAAAATTTGAAATTTTTTATGGGCGTATTGCAGTWAATCCTGATTTCGTAAGTATTATAGTTCAAGCAGCCACAGTTCTCCATAATTATATACGAYGGAGAGACGGTTTTGWKTTTGAAGACACTTTAAATGCTGATAACATGTTACCTATTGAACCACGAGGAACTGCATCTAGAAGTTTAGTTGGACAACAGGTTAGAGATCAATTCGCCCAATACTTCTTAAGTGATGCCGGAAGTGTTCCGTGGAAAAATAACAGAATTTAATTATTTTTAAAATGGGAAGCATCCTACTAATACTTATAAGTTAATACAATATATGTATAATTTAATAATATCATAGTATTATTATTATTATATTTATAGTTAAAAGTTAATACTTATAGATTATTATTTAGAGTATAGATTTATTGTGAATTGTGATGGTGTTAAAAATTTGACTAATAAATTAGGTACTAATTCCATGTTTATAAATAGTATATTTCAAATTAAAATGATTTAAGTACTTACGTTTTTCTTTCCGTTTACCAATCTGTATTGTTTCCCAATCGGAATATATATTTTTTGCTATTTGGTTCCATGTTTTTTTTTAACTTCCCGATTACTGTATTCCTTGTCGCTTAAATCCCATAAACATGGATTTAACTGCACTTCAGAAATTAATAATTCAACGTCTAACATGATGATGATGCTCGTTGAACAATTAATAATCGAATGATGAATAAAATAAAATATTATGATTCCGCTAGGAATATCCGCTACAAATATGAAATGGGTAACCCAAAAGAACATTTTTGGATTTATTTTGGTATCCGTCACGGAA